CAGAGTCGGTGGGGAAGCAGAATCGGGCTGGAGATAGGGATGCTTGTGCTGCACTTAGGGAGGGACTTGCTGCTGTCAGCTGCTCCTCTTGCATCAAGAAGTGAGATACACTGATGAGTAGATGTGAGGCAAGGCAGGCGCTTGGCAGGACTTTGAGTAGCAACCTGAAAGAAAACCAGCGGGCAGCAGCAACTTTTGGTGATGACGGGGGAGAAATACTTCTTACTTGAGATAAGAAAGTGGAATGTGCAGGCAAACCAAATGAAACTGCTGACCATGCGCTTTCTTAGGTAGTGCGTTCCCATTGTAAGAGCGCCACCTGGCTGGGATAGAACACATTTCTAAGCACTTCTTTGGCCTTGCGGAAATGCATTCCTGCAGAGTAACTGAACTCCATCCACCCTGGCTGGAGACCCCTGCCCCTTTTGGAAGAGACACAACACAACACATGGATGGTTAATTGCGTTCTTTTGAGAACCCATAAAGGCGATGCACCAGTTCTGCGCAGGGGTGCTCTCCTGGTGTCCTCTTTACCCTGCTGTGGGGTGGCCTGGCTCACGTCTTTTCTGTCATAAGCTTTCCTTTTGTTTTCACATTAGAACTAGTCCACAAATGAGCTCCATCTAACAGGAGGCAACTGCCATGCTAGCTACTGACGGAGGGCTGGCAGCTGAATGGCTGGAACAAAATGTTAACTGTAGGATCCAGATGGGGGGTTTATAGGTTTATTGTAAAGTTCTGTCAAATTTTCTGAATGTTTGAAACTTTTTAGGAAAACCTGTTGGCGGAAAGGATGCCTCTCAGTAAAATCTTGTTCTGCGAGCATAATTCCTTCCGGAAACGTGCTTGTGATCCAAAGCACTTGTTTGTCAAAGGGAATTTCCCCATAAGAAATAATGAAGACTTAGGTGACTTGTCCCACAACCCAAAAATACTCATATAAAAATGATTAAAATACTGTAATATAATATAAAATAAGAAAATACAAAATATAAAGAAGGGTAAATTAATCTGTGTTTACCTTTGGAAACCCTCATTGCTGGTATGAGGAAGATGAGAGAGGAGGGTTGTTGTGTGGGACACTTCCACTGTCACTACCAGAATCACTGTACTCACGGGCTCAATGGAATCTTTTTCTTTTCATGCAACTTTAACAAGGACCCTATCCAAAGACGCTTGCTTTTGCCTCCTTTTTTGGATTTAGTGGAAATGTGACATTGTATTTTTAAACAGGTTCATCCTTCCCACTGCTACAGCCTTACTCAGGTGATGCTTTTCTGTGGAATTTTGCACTGTTTTCTACATGGTACACATCTCCCTAGTGTCATTTAAAGTGAGGGACGCCTCTGCCTTTTTCTCCTCCTCTGCAGAGGAGATCTCCTCCATAACCTCTTGGTGCTGGGAGACCATTGCCCACACTGGGGGGATGGTCGGCTCAGTTGTAACCGTATGACATTTGGTGTCACATGCTACTCACTTTGCAAGACATCGCTAGTTTGTGGAGTGGAAATTTATTAGAAATGTTTGGTCATCCTGGGGGACACTCACAGAACAAGTTCCAATTCAAGAACTTTTACTGTATTTGTTTTAAAAACGCATTAATGGGTAAGCCTCACATTAAATCATTAACATTCAATTTCTAAGCTTTACTAATTTTTTGTTTGTTTGTTTGTTTTTGGTTTTTCTCCGGTACCGGGAACCGAACTCACGACCTTGCGCATGCCAGGCAGGCGCTTTTGCCGCTGAGCTAAATCCCCAGCCCCGCTTTACTAATTTTTTTTCCTGGTATTTCTCCTACTTTCCTCAGTGAATGCGTTCAGATCTGTGCTCATATCTTCCTTCCTCCAGGAAATTTCCCCCAAACTTCAGTCTGACTGAGACTGTGTCTCCTCTGTGTCCCAGAGCTCTCCTTGAGTACCTCTGCTGTATAATTCGTTGCTCTCTATCTTTCTCGTGTCCTTCTGTCACCCTTCCATGTAGGCTGAAGCAGTGGTGGGGACTGGAAATGTCTACCATGGCTATTTCCATTTTTGGCCTTTCAGCATAGATTTTGGCAGGTATCTGTGGATTCATTGAATAGTGTTCAATTCATTTTTCCTGGATAAATTGGCTTTAGTTTTTTGAAAATAGCACTTCAGAATTAGATGTGTATGTCTGTTTGAAAGAATTCCCACCCCCAGGCTAGAAAAATCTTTGTCCACTTTGTAAGGTTCCCAGGAGTAAAGATGCCCTGGAGGAACTGTGGGACTGTGTGATGGCCAGGGACCTGGGAGTTGGGACCCCATTTGCCAGCCTTAGCTGTGTCGGAAATAGTTGGGGCCAGAAATGAGACCTGAAGTAGTTTCACATCCCTAATCTGGCGCCTTGTGGGGAGGCCTGCCCCTCTCCCACTTGCTCTATTTTAGTCACAATGCAGATGTGCTTAATTATCTAGTTAATTGCTTAGCTCACTTATTAAAAGCACATAATGAGGAAGGGGAGTGGAAGGAGGGCCTGGTGTGGGCAGGTAAACTGACTGCAGCATGCAAGGGTGGAGAGGAGGCAGAGGAGCGACCTGTGACCTTGACTTGGAGCAGCCCAAGGCTCTTCACATGGTTTATGTGGGTGCTGAGGAGCTTTACATCATCAAGAAAGGCTGAATTTTATTTATTATGCCTATTTTAGAAAACATGTGGTACATGAGAAATAACTTGCAGCACTTCACCAATATAATCCCAAACAGATTTTAAACATAAGAATTTATAATTTAAATACTGGCAGAGCCAGATGTAGCACTTGCTGGTAAGGCCAGAATTCTGAGAGGCTGAGGCAGGAAGATCCC